GATCCACCCGCCTCGGCCTCCCAAAGTGCTGGGATTACAGGCTTGAGCCACTGCACCTGGCCATTTTTTATTTTTTTAAGAGACAGGGTCTCGCTATGTTGCCCAGGCTGGAGTGCAGTGGCTATACACAGGCCACTAAAACTAGTAGGCAATCCCACTACTGATCAGCATGAGAGTTTTGACCTGCTCTGTTTCCGACCTAGGCGGGTTCACCCTTCCTTAGGCAACCTAGTGGTCCCCCGCTCCTGGGAGGTCACCATATTGATGCCAAATTTAGTGCAGACACCAGATCAGCATATCGCAGTACAGCCCAGAACTCCTGGGTTCAAGCAATCCTCCCACCTCAGCCTTCCGAGTAGCTGGGACTATAGGCACACGCCACCACGTCTGGCAACATTTTTATTTATTTATTTTGAGACAGAGTCTCCCTCTGTCACCCAGGGTGAGGCTGGAGTGCCGTGGCACAATCTCGGTTTACTGCAACCTCCGCCTCGTGGGTTTAAGTGAGTTTCCTGCCTCAGCCTCCCTAGTAGCTGGGATTACAGGTGTGTGCCACTACACCTGGCTAATTTTTGTATTTTTCATAGTGATGGGTTTCACCATGTTGGCCAAGCTGGTTTTGAACTCCTGATCTCTGGTGATCTGCCCATCTCAGCCTCCCAAAGTGCTGGGATTAGGGGGCTCAGCCACCGTACCTGGCAACATTTCTTTTTTTTTTTTTTTTTTTGAGACAGAGTCTTGCTCTGTTGCCCAGGCTGGAGTGCAGTAGCATGATCTCGGCTCACCGCAGCCTTCGCCTCCCAGGTTCAAGGGATCCTCCTGCCTCAGCCTCCCAAGTAGCTAGGACTACAGGCGCTTGCCACCACATCCAGCTAATTTTTGTATTTTTAGTAGAGATGGGGTTTCACCATATTGGCCAGCCTGGCCTCAAATTCCTGACCTTGTGATCCACCTGCCTTGGCCTCCCAAAGTGCTAGGATTGCAGGTGTAAGCCACCGTGCCTGGCCCCGGCAACATTTTTTTTTTTTGAGACGGAGTTTCGCTCTTGTTACCCAGGCTGGAGTGCAATGGCGCGATCTCGGCTCACCGCAACCTCCGCCTCCTGTGCTCAGGCAATTCTCCTGCCTCAGCCTCCTGAGTAGCTGGGATTATAGGCACGCGCCACCATGCCCAGCTAATTTTTTGTATTTTGAGTAGAGATGGGGGTTCACCATGTTGACCAGGATGGTCTCGATCTCTTGGCCTCGTGATCCACCCGCCTCGGCCTCCCAAAGTGCTGGGATTACAGGCTTGAGCCACCGCGCCCGGCAACATTTTTAAATAATGCAAACAATATCATTTATTGAGGCCTTCCTTCTGTGTGCCTGGTACTATGCTAAGTGGTTTACATGTATTCTCTCATTTAATTCTCACTACAACCCTGTGAGGCAAATACAGTTGTTATCCCCATCTTATACGAAAGAAAATTGAGGTTCAGAGGGGTTAGGAAATTTGCCTTTTCTTTTCTTTTTTTTTTTTTGAGACAGAGTTTCGCTCATTACCCAGGCTGGAGTGCAATGGCGCGATCTCGGCTCACCGCAACCTCCGCCTCCTGGGTTCAGGCAAATCTCCTGCCTCAGCCTCCTGAGTAGCTGGGATTACAGGCACGCGCCACCATGCCCAGCTAGTTTTGTATTTTTAGTAGAGACTGGGTTTCACCATGTTGACCAGGATGGTCTCGATCTCTCGACCTCGTGATCCACCCGCCTTGGCCTCCCAAAGTGCTGGGATTACAGGCTTGAGCCACTGCGCCCGGCCGCCTTTTCTTTTTTTTTGAGACAGAATTTCACTCTTGTTGCCCAGGCTGGAGTGCAATGGTGAGATGTCAGCTCACTGCAACCTCCGTCTCCCAGGTTCCAGAGATTCTCCTGCTTCAGCCTCCCAAATAGCTGGGATTACAGGCACGCGCCACCACATCCGGCTAATTTTTTGTATTTTTAGTAGAGACAGCATTTCACCACTTTGGTCAGGCTGGTTTAGCACTCCTGACCACAGGTGAGCCAACCACCTCAATCTCCCAAAGTGCTGAGATAGGTGTGGGCCACTGCACCTGGCCAGAAATGTGCCCAAATTTCTTTTTTTTTTTTTTTTTGAGACGGAGTTTCGCCCTTGTTACCCAGGCTGGAGTGCAATGGCGCGATCTCGGCTCACCGCAACCTCCGCCTCCTGGGCTCAGGCAATTCTCCTGCCTCAGCCTCCTGAGTAGCTGGGATTACAGGCACGTGCCACCATGCCCAGCTAATTTTTTGCACTTTTAGTAGAGACGGGGTTTCACCATGTTGACCAGGATGGTCTCGATCCCTCGACCTCGTGATCCACCCGCCTAGGCCTCCCAAAGTGCTGGGATTACAGGCTTGAGCCACCGCGCCCGGCGCTCCAAATTTCTTAATTAAATTAAATTAATACAATTGAATTCGATTAAATCTGCATCCAGATTTAAACCAGGTGGCTGATTCAAAGTCCAACACTTCTATTCCCCAAATGAAGAAAATAATTCACTCATTCATGCATCGAGTATCTAATGTGCACCTACTGTGTACCTTGCCTTAAGGACACCAAAAATAAGTCAGTCAGTAGAGGTAAGCCTTAAAAATAATTGGGTTTGAAGATTAAAGGGCAAGAAATCAAAGGTTCTGGAGGGCAGTGATGAAGCTACTATAACTATCCAGGGTGAGTTAATGATTTTCTAAAGTCCAGCAAAGGCAAGGGAGAGTGGTTGTAAAGGAGGGGTGTTTTGAATGGAGGAGTTGGGGGAATGTGGCTGCAGTCAGGTGTTCAAAGTAACTTTTCTATTTGGCCAACCATATGTTGATTTTTTTCTTCCTTCAAGTATCTACTGAGCACATACAATGTACCACGTTTCTTACACCCACTATCTTATTCCATCTTTACAATATCCCCCCTTTTTTTCCCCAGACTGGGTCTCCCTCTATTGTCCAGGGGGGAGTGGAATGGCTATAGTCACCGCTCACTGCAGGTTTAACCTCTTGGGCTCAAACGATCCTTCTACCTCAGACTCCCAAGTAGCTGGGACTACAGGTGTGTGCCACTGCATCTGGCCTTAGCTAATTTTTTGTATAGGTGGGGACTCACTATGTTGCCCAAGCTGGTCTCAAACTCCTGGGTTCATGCGATCCTCCTACCTTGGACTCCCAAGTGCTGGGATTACAGGTGTGAGCCACCACTCCCAAACTCCCATTTTTTAAACAAACAAATCAGTTATCTCGAATCCCTTGCCATCACTTTAAGCCCAGAGGGATTTAAACTCATTTACCTTGGGGTGGAGGGGTGGGACCAAAAAAAAAAAAAAAAAAAAAAAAACAACTCATTTACCTGTTGGGTAAAGCCCATTTCAATTTTGCATTGATGATCCACAAAGAGATGGTGATGGAGGTTGCTGTAGTTTGAGATTGCTCTGGAGTCCAGTGGCAGGGTCTCTGTTCACTGCAACCTCCACCTCCTGGGTTCAGGCGTTCTTGTGCCTCAGTAGCCGAGTAGCTGGGATTATAGGTGCCCACCATCATGCCTGGCTAATTTTTTATTTTTAGTAGAGATGAAGTTTCACCCTGTTGGCCAGGCTGGTCTCGAACTCCTGGCCTCAAGTGATTTGCCCTCCTCTGCCTCTCAAAGTGCTGGGATTACAGGTGTGAGCCACCAGCCCAGCCAGTATACACTTTGTTTTCTGAGCACAGCTCCTGCTATGAGGCTCTGTCACTAAAGAGGTATAGTTTCTAGGAAATGCCCACCTACCTTTCACTCTTGTAATATTAGGCTTCTGCTCTGGGTTAGGCCCCAGGAAGACTCCAAGAACCCAAGGCACAGAAAACCGGAGGGTAAATAATAGGACACAACGTGACAGGGCTATAACAGAGGCCTGCCCAAGCGTTAGTTCAACTCGCTGGGAAATCTTGGCAGATGTACCAAGAAGGCCCATTCTTTTTTTTTTTTTTTTTTTTGAGACGGAGTTTCGCTCTTGTTACCCAGGCTGGAGTGCAATGGCGCGATCTCGGCTCACCGCAACCTCCGCCTCCTGGGTTCAGGCAATTCTCCTGCCTCAGCCTCCTGAGTAGCTGGGATTACAGGCACGCGCCACCATGCCCAGCTATTTTTTTTGTATTTTTAGTAGAGACGGGGTTTCACCATGTTGACCAGGATGGTCTCGATCTCTCGACCTTGTGATCCACCCGCCTCGGCCTCCCAAAGTGCTGGGATTACAGGCTTGAGCCACCGCGCCCGGCCCCCATTCTTTAGGAATACGTAAGAGTTCGGCTTGGTGCGGTAGCTCATGCCTGAAATCCCAGCACTGTGGGACGCCGAGGCGGGGGAGTGGGAGGAGGATGACCTGAAATCAGGAGTTTGAGACCAGCCTGACCAATATGGTGAAACTCCGTATCTACTAAAAATACAAAAATTAGCTGGGTCCCACCTCAAAAAAAAGAATAGTTCATTGGGCGAGGTGGCTCACACCTATAATCCCACCACTTTGGGAGACCGAGGCGGGGGGATCACTTGAGGTCAGGACTTCGAGACCAGCCTGACCAACACGTTGAAATCCAGTTTCTACTCAAAATACAAAAATTAAGTGGGCCTGGCGGGTGCCTGTAATCCCAACTATTAGTGAGGCTGAGGCTGGAGAATTGCTGGAACCCGGGAGGCACAGGTTGCAGTGAGCCGAAATGGCACCGCTACACTCCAGCCTGGGCGACAAAGCAAGACTTCATCTCAAAAGGAAAAAAAAAAAGAAGTAGGGGGCTCTCCCGTGCGCTGGGAAAGACATTCCAAAAATCCCCATTTGTACTAGGCACTTTGGTGGGCCATTCCCTTAGGGCAATGCTCCTAATGTCTGTCCCAGAAATTCGGAGAGGGAAAGAATGTGCTGGGGCAAGCATGGGTCAGGAAAGAATAGGGTCAGGATCTAGGCCCCTGAAGCAGCCGCAGGCAAACTCTTTGGACAGACAGACCTCCCGGGAGGGTCCTCAAACTCCGCACGTGGTCTGGCCTGGCCGGCAGAGACGAGAAAGCCTTCCCAGCAGCGCCCGCGGACCGGGCCAAGGAAAGGGTCGAATAGTTACCATGCCATTCTGGGGCGGTCTCTCTCATTGGCCCGAGCTCCCGCAGCCCGAGTCTCAGGGCTCCAAGGCAGGAGGCGGAGTCTCTATGTTGCGTCACCACTGTTCCCCACACCCCGCCGGTGCTTCCCAATCTAGCCATTCACAAGCCCACTTAGAGAGGCCCTGTGTGACGTCACTACTCACTCCCGTCAACCGCGGCGGCGAGGGGGCGGGACCCCACGGCCCTCTTACCGCTCCTCCCCTGTACCTCCCCTAACTCCTTGTGCCCCTCCCCTTCCCTCTCGCCCCTTCCGCCCCGAAGACCGCCCTCACGTTCGGTTTCAAAAGACGCGTTGCCCAATGAATAACAGGGCCGACCCGGAGTGGCGGCCAGGTCCACCAATGCGCGGACGGAGAGGGCGGAGCGCCTCCAGCGAGCCTCTGACGCCGGGCGGCGTGTGACGCAGTCGGGCCCTCTGCGCGCTGCGCCCGAATTGCTGGTCGGTAGCGGTGGTGGTAGCGGCGGCGGCGACGGTTTCGTGGGGGCCGCGCGCTGCACCGTGAGCGCCGGGTGGCCGACGGGCCCGTGTCCGAATTCCTGACATTTCCTTTCCCCCACAGAAGCGCGGTAAGTCGGGAACCTGAGATGCCGCGGCCGAGACCGGCAGGCTCCTCCTCCCTTCCGGGCGGGCGGAAGCGCAGGGCGTCCCAGGGCCTCTCCGCGCCGAAGTCTCGCGCCGCGGCGCACACCTTCTGGCCTGAGAGAGGGGCGGGGCCCAGGACCCTGCGTCTCGGGGGCCGGCTCTGGAGGCCCTGGGAGGGAATGGGCATCGATGGGATCTAGGCCTGGGGGTTTCCAGTTGTAGCCCACGCGAGTAGGCGTCTGTCTGGTTGTACTCATTCATTCGTTCGGCGGTGTTAGGACCCCACGGTGGACTGGGCTTTGTGGAGTCGGTTCCTTGAGACTCTGAATATGGGCTGCCCCGCACTTCCTTGACCGTCATGTGGGGATGGGCTTTATTTGCTTTGGCTTCTCCTTAAGGGAAATGGGCACCTCGAGAATTAGGGTGAGTCTGAAGTTTGTTAGATTTTTAAGCTAATATCTGAGAATAGGAGTCGGTTTGGTGGAGCAAAAGGTTCCTTTCTGTTTTTCCACGTGTTCCGTGTAAAGCCAGATGAGGAGAAAAATGGAGTTTCTGGATTACTATAGCCATAAAGAACTTAGAAATTGTTTAAGTCAATTCTCCTACCTTACATCGCAGTTCTGTCGAGGGGGAAACCGAGGTCCGGAGTAACAGGCAGGATTAGCCAATGCCAGATCTCTGACAGTCTAAAAATTTTTCTGCTTGGATATTTCAGTCTCCCATTATTAAGAATTACCTTTAGGAAGTCGATGCGGATGGGGGATGTTAGGTAGCTGGACGTAGATGGAGTCTTCATAGCGTTTTCCATTTAGTTGCTACCAGCTCTGTTTACGGAAGGCGGAAGCTTCGTTAGTAGAATCCTAACCTAGATCTCGACAACTAAGCTTAGAAGATAGTTAAAGAATGTCAGTGATGTTATGTATTGGAAACAAATCGGTAAAACTACAAGCCATTGTTGGCCTTTCTAAATCTGAATTTTTTGACTTGTGTCAGCTGCTGAGGACTCGCAGTCAGTGATTTATAACAGTATTGGAATAGAAAGCAGAAAATATTGACAAGGCTTGAAAGCTAAGCAGGAATACGTTTGTAGTAGTTGTATCTTGGAACTCATGGCTCCGTTCAGGTACAGAATGCATAGTGAAGTATTATAGAATAAGGTGAGAAAACAAAACTCCATTTTGGAGGAAGAAGTTATCAGAAAGAAAGAGAGAGGGAGGGACAGAGGGAGAAAGGAAGGGCGGAAAGGAAAAGAACAGTAATCATTCCCTGTGACAGTCTTATAAATTCAGGAAGAAGCTCTAGTTAGTTAACTGGGTTACAGAATGTTTACCTGGTGGAGGAAGTTGGGGTATTTAAAAACCAAAACTAGAGATTCAACAGGATAAAGGTACTGGGAACCGGGTGCGGTGGCTCATGCCTGTAATCCCAGGACTTACGTTGGGAGGCCGAGGTGGTCGGATCATGAGGTCAGGAGTTCCAGACCAGCCTGACCAACATGGTGAAACCCTGTCTCTACTAAAAATACAAAAATTAGCACAGTATGGTGGCGCATGCCTGTAATCCTAGCTACTCGGGAGGCTGAGGCAGGAGAATTGCTTGAACCTAGGAGGCGGAGGTTGCAGGGACCCAAGATCGCGCCACTGCACTCCAGCAAGACTGTCTCAAAAAAAAAAAAAAAAAAAAAGATCGGCCGGGCGCAGTGGCTCAAGCCTGTAATCCCAGGACTTTGGGAGGCCGAGGCAGGTGGATCACGAGGTCAAGAGATCTAGACCATCCTGGTCAACATGGTGAAACCCTGTCTCTACTAAAAATGCAAAAAATTAGCTGGGCATGGTGGCGCGTGCCTGTAATCCCAGCTACTCAGGAAGCTGAGGAAGGAGAATTGCCTGAACCCAGGAGGTTGCGGTGAGCCGAGATTGCGCCATTGCACTCCAGCCTGGGTAACCAGCGAAACTCCGTCTCAAAAAAAAAAAAAAAAAAAAAAGGTACTGGGAAATACTGCGGTAAAAATTATTGTTTTTGACTTTCAGATTTGATGAAATTGAATTAGTTGACACTTTGGTCTGTTCACATCAGTAAGGTTGTCACTTTGCTCTTGTTTAGATGACAAAGCATAAACTCAAAACCAGTAGTGCAGGGGAGAACCCTAGTCTAAACAGTAAAGCGTGAACAGGGTATGTTTTCTGTGACATTTTCTCAGTTAAAGCATCTTCTTCTGGGAAGCTTTTCTTGGCATTCTCTCCCCTGCAAGCTTCCATAACACCTATTTGATACTTCTGTTTATAGCACCTATCATTTCTATTTTAGCTGTTTTTTTATTAGTCTGGTAAAATACTTTTGTCTTTGTAGTCCAATTGCCTGCCACATAGTAGGCCCTCAATAAATGTGTTTACTTGAATGAATAGACAAATATAGAGGAGTTATACCTGACAGTAGTCAATAGAGAGATCTGTTTATATGTTATGTGATAGTCTGCTGTTTATATGTTATGTGATACTTGGGTACCTGACTTTATTTATTTAATGAGATAGGGTCTCACTTTATCACCCAGGCTGGAGTGCAGTTCACAGCAGCCTTGACCTGCTGGGCTCAAGCAGGTCAGCCTCCAAAGTAGCTGGGACCACAGGTGTGCACCGCCATACACAGCTAATTTTTTTATTTTTGGGAGGGGGATAGAGACAGGGTTTTGCTGTGTTGCCCAGGCTGATCTTGTACTCCTGAACTCAAGCCATCCACCCACCTCATCCTCCCAAAGTGTTGGGATTACAGGTGTGAGCCACTGCGACCAGCCGGTACCTGACTTTATGTCTGCTACATCTTAGATAAAATAAGAGCAAGTAGAATTTTTAGGGAACCAAATTTACAGCTTTAAAAAAATTAGCCTTTTTTTTTTTTTTTTTTAATATGATTTATTTGGTAGTAGTTAACCTAGAAAGTAAAGGATGAGGCCGGGCGCGGTGGCTCAAGCCTGTAATCCCAGCACTTTGGGAGGCCGAGGCGGGTGGATCACGAGGTCAAGAGATCGAGACCATCCTGGTCAACATGGTGAAACCCCGTCTCTACTAAATATACAAAAAATTAGCTGGGCATGGTGGCGTGTGCCTATAATCCCAGCTACTCAGGAGGCTGAGGCAGGAGAATTGCCTGAACCCGGGAGGCGGAGGTTGCGGTGAGCCGAGATCGTGCCATTGCACTCCAGCCTGGGTAACAAGAGCGAAACTCCGTCTCCAAAAAAAAAAAAGAAAGTAAAGGATGATGGTCCTAATGTTTAATTTCCAATAAAGAGACTATATGTAGTTGTGCAATTTGTTGAACGGTTAGGGGACTGAGAAATTCAGAGATTTAATGATAAGTTTTGGCCGAGCATGGTGATTGACTCCTGTAATCCCAGCACTTTGGAAGGTTGAGGCACATGGGTTGCTTGAGCCCAGAAATTCAAGACTAGCCTGGGCAACAAAGGGAAACCCTGTCTCTACAAAAAAATAGAAACATTAGCCAGGCATGGTGGTGTACACCTGTATTCCCAGCTACTCGGGAGGCTGAGATCAGAGAATCACCAGAGCCTGGGAAATTGAGGCTGCAGTGCCATGATTGCACCACTGCATTCCAGCCTGTGCAACCGAGTGAGACCCTGTCTCAAAGAAAAAAAAACAATAAGTTTTAGAGGCAAGGTAGGTAAAACATTTCCTGAGAACTTGGTGCATTCTTTGTGTTTGAAATTGACCCAAAGTATTTGGCACAGTATGGCTCTAGAGAAAGGTTTCTCAGCTTTGGTGCTTTTGACACTTAGGGCCAGATAATTATTGTGGTGGCTCTGTTGTATATTGTAGGATGTTTAGCAACATCCCCAGCCTCTATCCATTAGATACCCATAACACTTCCTCTGCAGGTTGTAACAATCAGGAATGTCTCAAGAAATTGTCATTATTGCCCTTGATTTAGACTACTACTGTAGTGAAAACATTTCAAATATATTATTAAAATCGTACTTTGGCTTCACATTTGTTTGCATTGCATATATATATATATATATATATATATATATATATATATTTTTTTTTTTTTTTTTTTTTTTTTTTTTTTTTTGAGACAGAGTCTCTGTCGACAGGGGCCAGGCTGGAGTGCAGTGGTGCAATCTTGGCTCACTGCAATCTCCACCTCCTGGGTTCAAGCAGTTCTCCTGCCTTAGCTTCCTGAGCAGCTGGGACTACAGGTGCGCGCCACCATGCCCAGCTGATTTTTGTATTTTTTAGTAGAGACAGGGTTTCACCATGTTGGCCAGGCTGTTCTTGAACTCCTGACCTCGTGATCCACCTGCCCCGGCCTCCCAAAGTGCTGGGATTACAGGCGTGAGCCACTGCGCCCAGCCACTTTTTTTTATTTAATTGAGACAGAATCTTGCTCTGTTACCCAGGATGGAGTGCAGTCTCTTGATCTTGGCTTGTTGCAACCTCTGCCTCCTGGGCTCAAGCAATTATCCTGCCTCAGCCTCCCATGTAGTAAAAGCTACAGGCTCACGCCACCATACTTGGCTAATTTTTTTTTTTTTTTTTTTTTTTTTTTTTTTTTTTT